ATTTCTTTCTATTTTTTTAGTAGAGACGGAGTCTCGCTCTTGCTCAGGCTGGTCTCGAACTCCTGAGCTCAAACAATCTGCCCACCTCGGCCTCCCAGAGTGCTAGGATTACAGGCATGAGCCACCGCGCCCGGCCTTGTCAGGGTAGCATTTTTCAACTCAACAAGAAATTGTCAAAGAGTCCCTTAAAAAGGCCAATTCAATTTATACCAATACCTGTTACCACTGTAAGTTGAGTATCCCTTATCTGAAATGCCTGGGACCAAAAGTGTTTTGGATTTCAGATTTTGGAATATCTGCATTATACCAGTTAAGCATCACGTGGGCACTCAAAAAGTTTCAGATTTTGGAGCCTTTCTGATTTTGGATTTGGCATGTACTACCTACATCACATGTCTGTTTCCCTATCATATTTAATGATATTTTCAATCTTTACAATATCTGCCAATTTAATGAACAAAATACGGGATTTCATTATTTTAACTCACATTTCCCAGATCACTGGTGAGACGTTTAACTGGCCACTCATATTTTTTCTCCTCTGTGAAATATCTATTTAGAACCTTTGCCCATTGTTCTCTCTTTTTTAACTTGTAGATATTTTTATATATTCTGGATATTAATTAATTCGTTATTTGATATAAATATTAATATATCTTCCTAGTCTGTCATTATTTTAACTTTGTTTATGTTGCCCATTGTCATGTAGAAATTTAATTTTGAGAAATTTATTTAGTTGAATTTATCAAATCTTTTTCTTTGTATCTTTTGCATTTTGTCTTGCTTCCATACCTCAAATTTTTTTTTTTTTTTTTAGACAGAGTTTCACTCTGTTGCCCTGAGTAGAGTGCCATGGCATCAGCCTAGCTCACAGCAACCTCAAATTCTTGTGTTCAAGCGATTCTCCTGTCTCAGCCTCTCAAGTAGCTGGGACTTCCAGCACACGCCACAACGCCCAGCTAATTTTTTCTATTCTTTTAGTAGACACAGGGTTTCGCTCTTGCTCAAGCTGGTCTTGAACCGCTGACCTCAAGTGATCCTCCCACCTCAGCCTCCCAAAGTGTTAGGTTTACAGGTGTGAGTCACCATGCCAGGCCTAATTTTCTATATCTAAATTTCTTTAGATAAAAATTTTAAAAAGTACACAGAAATGTAGAATAAGGAGGACAAACTGCAATCATAAGACTATTCCAAATAGGTCTGAATGTATAGATAAGAAAACAATTATTAGTTCCAGGGGAAACAAAAAAATGTACACCATATGGTCCAACTGAATAGCATTTTCAAAGCCATAATATTGAAGTGGTAAATGTCTACCTAACCAAACGTATGCCGTGGACCCAGGAGGACATGAGAAGGCTGCATGCAGGTGGCAGGGACGAGAGAAGAAAGAGCCAAATCCTTATCTTCCAGTAGGAATCAAGAGCTAATGCATAAAGCAGAAAAAATTTTTAAATGACTGCACAAGCATATTAGAGACCTCATAGAGGTAAAGGACAAAATAGACCGCCATAAAGGAAGTGACAGTGGTTGCTTGCAAGGAAGGCAGTGTGGTGTGCAAGGTGCCAGAACTGCTTTCTTCAGAAATCTTACAGAACTATTTGAATCTTTAAACTCTGTCACATGGAGCTTTTATTAAAATGAATACTAACAAAAAGTAAGAAGGGAAAGAAGAGAACCCAGAATCCCTAAGGCTGGACACATCCCCTCTCCAGCTTGTTCAGTTCACACGTCTGGCTCTGTGAAGAGGAGGTCTCATTTACATCATGTCGCCTAAGTGGAAGCAGGGCCTCTTCCACAAAAGACACTTGAAAAGTCAACTGAAGACAGCTTATCCCATTTACAAAATAAGAACCACTCTATCAATTCAAAGTTTTTCATTCTCATTCACCTCTGGTGGCAAGTTGGGAATTCACAGAGGTCCCATTAGGAATGAGTTGCAACTTCCTATTCCTTTTCCCTCACATGTTGGTAACTAAGACTAATCCTCTGCCAAACACAAGGTTTGGCAGGACTAACGCCTGACTACTCCACCTGCCAATGTCATTAAAGTGACTTCCTCAGAGAGCCCACTGCACATCTATCTTCAAACCTATATAAGAAATAAGTATTTTTTCTTCCAGAAATAATGACTCCTGCTCACCAGCATGAATAATCAATGACCTACTAAAATTTGCAATGCTTCCATATTAAATGTAGACAACACTGCATGGAGATATTATAATATTATCAAGCATATCTTGAACACACAATTGCTTTGGCTATTTTCAAGACAGTATACAAACAATGTTAGGCATGTGAAGTCCTGTCTCCTTGTTTATAATCTGAGACAGAGCCACAGATGTACAATATTCAAGCATTTGTTCCTATGTTTGTATACAGGTCCTAAGATGGAATTTTAGTGGTAGGGAGCAAAGCAAATATTTATGTGGAAGGAAACAGAGGAGTTCAGAAGTCAACATACCTTCAGCATGTAGTAGAAAGGGAACCATGACAGGAAGAGATCAGAGAAGAATTCAGCAATGCTGAACACACCATACACTACCCAGTAGGTCAGCCACTGGGTATCATCTTCTTTGTTGGGGCTCTCTATGGCTTTAATTCTGAAAGGCAATACAAAAGAAAGTACATCATTTTAGTAAGAGCTCAGTGAAACATTTCAAACATTATATTTTTATAGCCTGTCCCCCAATACCACTGAGAAACTCAGGCAAATGTAGGCACTCTGTCACCAAAGGCAAGAGTACAGCATAAAGACAGGAAGCAATGTAGAGATATCAGGACAAACCGTTATAACCATCTGTTCCCAGTCTTCTGGTCACCCAAGAAACCAGTACCAGCTGTCATTGCCCCTGGATCTCCACCCTACTAGAGCATCCACCCCAAGCCTTAAGTAGATAACACCAGTGACTGGGAACTAAAGCAATCCCCACTCCCAAGTTGAGTCCTGCCAACAGGAATATATCAGGGAGAATTCTCTCATGGTAGGTTCCTATGCACTTTTCATAACTGAGGTACATCATGGGTGAGTAGGAATTTCTCATAAAGCAACTTTTGGAACATAGGTCTGGCACTGCCCAAAGTCCACAACATACTTTATAACAAACGGGTGAAAACAAACATCATGGTGTCCATTTAGTTCAGACTGTCTTTATGTGATCCTCGGGCTCTGGACTTGCCTCCCCTCATCAGGTAATAACATGACTTTCCCAACCCTAACTGATGCTTTAACAAAATTTATTCTGCAAATGGATGGAAATAAATTTAAAATAATCTTTTACTTCTGAATCACAGAAATTTCCTCCAGTCCTGGGAATCTCCTTATTCTAACCTGAAGCTCCATAATTTCTTGTCCTATCTGAACATATATCTGAATACTTGTCATAACTGAGCTAGACTGAAACAGTAAACTAGAAGAAATTTGAATCTTGTTTAGCCTATGAGCTAGGTTAACCACTGAAAATATTATACGTTGGTTACTCCGTAAAATCAGCTCCCTAAAGAGAAAGACTGCTGAATCATGCTGAATCATTCACTAAAAAAGCCCTTGTAAAGTTAAGTAGAAGCAGCTATGTGTGTGCGCCTGCATGCGCATGTGTTTTAAGAAAATAACCAAAAAGGGAAAAGTGACAGCTGAATGCGATGATTGCTAATGAGGAAGACATAGGTCGAAGTGATAAAGTAAATGCTGCTTTGAACTTCAAGAGTAGGCAAACATTTTTCACTTTAAGTATAAGAATCACATAAAATGAATTTAAGAGAGCTGATTATAAAATGATGGCTTGTAATGTGCGGACTAAGTCTATGTTTTAGCTTCCCTCAAATAGAAGCTAGCTAACGTAACAGAAGGCCAAAGGAAAGTGCAGGCAAGCATGCTAGCCAAAGAACTAACAGAGTACACCCTGTGTATGTAAGATCGTTTTTCTCCCTCTGAGATGTGGAATACTATGACTTATCTGTTTATATTTAAGTGAATATTGTTAGTTATTATAATAGTATAATAAAAATTTGTTTCTTATACCCTCATCCTGATCAGAGGGGACATAAATTAATAGTTACATTTCACTTAAGGTCTTAGTTTTGTGGACCAAAGCACTGCATGACTAAACTACCTACTATGTAATTCCAAAGGAAGCAACTCTCAGAACATGCCTGGGAAATTAAACAGCCTTTAAAATATGACATGAAAACCTCAAAATTTGATGAGACTTGTCATTGTTACTTAATCCAGGGGCTTTTAAATTCTTTTGACCACAAACCTCAGTAAGTGTACATTTTACATTATCCAGTAAACACATATCCACATAGTTCCACATATAAATATAAACTAAAATAGATGCTTCATGAAACCATTCTGACATTTTCTTTTTTTTTATTTTTTTTATTTCAGGGTATTATGAGGGTACAAACATTGTGGTTAATTTTATGTCTTTGCCTCACCCAAGCGAGGGTTAGAGGCATGCCCTTCCCCTCTACAATGCTCCCCGTGTCCTTTAGTTGCGGGTTTACCCCCCTCATCCCCCTAATCCCTGGAGAGTATTACTGCCAAGTAGGCACATTCTGAAATTTTCAATTCCATTCTATTTCACAATTTTTAAGATGTTAGTCAAGATCCACAGATTCAAAAACAGAAAAACTACCCTAACAGTTCATGTTCTGCTCTTCAAGGAATAAGAAGTGGTTAGTTCCCTAGTTTATCAACAATATGAATTCAGAAGTTCCCATGTTAATACGGTGGAACCCTATGTAGTAATACTGAATAGTAGAAATAAAATTACTCAAAATTGAACTGTGAACACTGATCACAACTGTGTAGAAAACCAAGGCACATGAAAGAAGACAGGGAAAGAGCACGGAAAGAGACCTATTAAACGGAAATGATTTTTTTTTCTTTGTATCCCTGTCAGGATTTTTTAAATAGAATTTCTCATATTATTGAAGCATTTAATTATTGTTTTAATTTAAAATAGCACAACGTTCATTTTAAAAATGAGTCTACATATTATAACATCATAAGTTACTCAAAACAAGAAAGAAGGTAAGAGAGAGTCTAACCCAATCAGGAAGCTGAGACTCAAAAAGGTGAAGCGCCCAGTCTAGTCATGGTGAGAGAAGGAAAGCGCTTCAAACTGAGGTTTCCTGGGCGCCATTTACTTAGCGAGCTTCTGAACAGACTTCCTTGTCCAGGTTGAGTGGACCTATGTGACTCTTCAACGATACACTCTACTGCCTTGTACATGTATAGAATCATAGTCCAACTTGGTGCATAAGAACGAGGATGTAGCAATTTAAATGAATTTTAAGTCACAAAGATTACAGAGCAGGTGTTCACAAACTTTTTAAAGGGTGAAGGACCATTGAAAGACATTTTGGCATATCCATACAATGACATGTTCCAAAGCCTTTAAAAAGAATATTAACAGGGAAAGATGTCCAAGATACAGTGCTGAGTGTAAAAAGTAGACTCTCATTTTGTGTTAAAACAGAAAAAAAAAAGACATGTTTTTCTGTGGTTATAGACCAAGAACAGGATCCAGAAAGATATACACTGTATTTCAAATTGTGTAAAATTAATCCTGGGTACTGAAAAACAGAATTTTACTTAAGGTCTTTGCAATGAGTTTGTACTAATTTTTATAATAAAAGGAGGTGGGGAAAGGTTTCTATTTGGAAAAAAAAAAAAAAGGCACCAAACTTTCTATAACTACTTCCTCCTAGTTTTCTCTCTTTAGGGACTACTTCCTCCTATGAGACTAGTTCTCTCTTTCGGGCTTTGTTAAAAACAAATACTAAAGTGAACATCAGACACATTCATTTAATTTCTCTCTGGAGAAAACAGCTAATGATTTTCTTACAAACAAACTTCTCGAACAATGGTCAGGCACATCTGTTGTGTTTTAGAGCATTAAAAGGCCTGCAATACACACACATGCACAGAAAAGAGAGCCATGCAGCCCATCACATGAAACGGACTCATTTTCACTTTCTACTTAAATAAAACAAACCATCATAAATTACTAATTACACTGAACTATGGAGTATCCAGGCCTTTTTCTTCTTTTCTTCTCAATGCTGTCTGGCTTTGCGGTATTTCACTGTTCTTGGCTTGCAGCTTTGTATTCTGGCTCTCTCACTAAGTATATGACCTTGGGCAAGTTATTCCATCTCTCTGAGCCTTAGTTTGCTCGCCTATCAAGTAAGGATAATAAGCCTCATTGTGTTATTGTGAAGATTAAAGTAGTTAATACATGTAAAGCACTTAAAAATAATGAAGGGCATAGAGTAAGCACTCAGTATATATTCCCTTAATAGGTAATAATTATAGTATGGAAATAACTTATTATTATCATAAGGAGATTAGAGATTAAAAGAGATAAGATTCCAGTTCTCTTGGCTATGTAGAGCTAGTAAAAGGTTTATATCAGTTAATAAGGCTAAAAGAAGATTAGAGAATTACCCATGAATTTTAATTATACCCCACTCTCCAAATCCCAAATGTGACAGATAATAAAGAGTTAGCTGAAATCTCCAAAATTTGGTTTGTAGGTCAGGGGAAGAAATTGAAACACTGCTGGAAACATTTTTTCAGGCCCACCCTGCAAAGGTGGAATGGCAGAAATTCTTTACGTTGGCCCTGGACTGGCACTGATATGATCATAGTCACTGGGCAGTCCTTTTCCAACTGGGCCCTGGTAATTGGTACTGGCTGACTCCACCCTTATTGGCCATCTACTTATTCACATCCTGGCTGCTTTTTTCTGAAAGCAAGGGCAAAAACCAAGGCTTGCCAAAGAATAGCATTAAACACTTGTGAAGAAAACAAAGGTTGAGAAGAGATGGCCCTGGGCTACCAATATTCTCTCCCTCCCAAATTAAATGTTGTCATTCAGAGAACCTAAGCTATTCCCTGACCCATGACACAAGTAAGCTGCAAATCCTCTAAGGACTTTGGGTGACAATGATATGTCAATGCAGGTTCATCAGCTGTAACAAATGTACCACTCTGGTGGGGGACGTTGATGGTATGGGAGGCTATGCGTGTGGGGCAGGGGGTATATGGGAGATCTCTGTACCTTCTGCTCAATTTGGCTGTGAACCCAAAAGTGCTCTAAACAATAAAGTCTATTTTTTAAAAAAAAGAAAAAAAACCTTCACCTACCAAGTAGGCATTCTATAATACCAGATTTTTTTTTTTTTTTTTTGAGACAGAGCCTCACTCTGTTGCCCAGGCTAGAGTGCCGTGGCATCAGCCTAGCTCACAGCAACCTCAAACTCCTGGGCTCAAGCAATCCTCCTGCCTCAGCCTCCTGAGTAGCTGGGACTACAGGCATGCGCCACCATGCCTGGCTAATTTTTTCTCTCTATATATATTTTTAGTTGTCTGGCTAATTTGTTTGTATTTTTAGTAGAGATGGGGTCTCACTCTTACTCAGGCTGGTCTCGAACTCCTAACCTCGAGCGATTCCCCCACTCTGGCCTCCCAGAGTGCTCGGATTACAGGCGTGAGCCACCGCGCCCGGCCCCTGAAAGCTTTCTAAACCAAGCTTAAGTTAGTTATCTAGGTAACAGTCAGAAACCACTCTTCTTCCCTTGCTGAGGTTTC